ATACACACCTCTCTATATCGGGCACCTGTGTGTGTGGGTGGGTGGGCGGGTGTGTGCATAAGGCATGCTGATGAAATAGGAATCAGGCAAAGGCAGTGTCCCTGGATTTTGACTTTAAACTGCACACACTGTTGGTGCCCATCAAGCTGTTTCCTTGCAGCCCCAGCAGTTCAGAGAGAGGAGAAACTTGGCCCCCCTCTGCTCAGGGGAATGACACCTCCATCCCTGGAGCAGGGGATCAATCAGTCCATCTCTGGGAGGCGAATGAGGACGAAGGAACCCCTCCCCCGCCCCCCCCCGCCAGGCCCTGGGGCTGCTCCTGCCCCTCCTCCCCCATTCCCATTTCTCCTGAGAGGCCCCCTTACTTTCTGTCTCCCCAGGACCAATGTTTTTACCTTTTTCCAGGGGTGGTACATGCCCTTCCCACACTCACTAGCGATGTGCACCTTCCTCCTGAGTGGGGCCTGGGACACCAGTTTCTCTGCTCTTCTTGGGGCCAGACCCAAGGCACTGTTTGGGGGGGGTGGGAATGTAAACTGACCCTCCCTCAGGCCCAGCTCTGGATTTGGCCCAGGGTATTTACACACCCACCTGCTGGCCACATGGGCAGGACGCCCTCTTGGGACAGTGGCCCCTTTAGGAAGTGAGGAATGCTGGAGCCGAAACATTCCATGGCAGTTTATGGGGGAGGGGCTGGGACTCTGACCTGACCTAGGGGGAGAGGGCGGGGGTCAGGGGAGGGGCAAGGGAGGAGCTAGTGCCTCTGGCCTGGCCATGGAGGGAGGGGCGAGTGACTCTCACCAGACCTAGGGAACAGCTGGAGAAGGAAAAACAAACACCCCAGAAATGACAGGAGGTGATGCCACAATAATTGCAGGAGAGATCAGTGACTGGGTGAGCCAGAGCCTAAAGGAAATGGGAGCGTGCACCTGGAGCAGCCAGTAAAACTGAAGGAGAGTTACACCACACCCATTCCCCCAGAGTCTGATAGAGACAAGGGAATTTATCCCCTTTCTACCTACACCGAGCCTCCCATGGCAAGGATATTTACTCCCTCCCCTAAGCCTGCCAGAGATGGGAGGGGAGTTAATGCGGGGAAAGCAGAGGAACTTCTGAGAAGGGGACAGGAGAGGGGAAGAGAACCAGGGTAAAGAATACAATAAACTCCATGGAGAGGAGATATGATCGAGGAAACATAGGGAGCCTTTTGGTGCCTCCTGGAAGGCTTCAGGTGAGCAGGGCTCACTCACTACAACAGGGTTTCACACTGCAAGAAAATTTGAGGATCAGAAGGTGTTTTCTTCTGCAATGGGGACATGAAACAGACTAATTCCCATGTGACAATCCTTGGGAACTCCACTCACTCTTAATCCACTAACATTCTTGCTGCTGGGGCCCTTCTAGGGTGCATCCCAGATGCATGGACCGTCTCAGCACACATTCTTAAAGCTCGCTAGATGCTCCAGTGCAAATACCCCGGACTCACAGGAGCTCCCAGTGCACTGAACTGAAAGCAGCAGGTATTACATGCAACCAGAGGTACTGACACCACTATTACACTGCCTGAGCCTGCAAGTACCCATAATGTTTGCACAACAGATGTGTAGTTTCTGCAGGTGAATGTGCCTCAAGCATTTATCAGCCATAAATCTAGGCTTGAGGGATTGGCTCACACTTTGCAAATTCAGAATCTGATGAGTTCTAACCATTTATGCTTTTTAAATAGCAATTATAACTATTATTTAATTGCCAACAGTGCACTGGGTGTTGTATGAGATTAAAGATGGGCAAATTCTGCCAGAAAAGTACATACACATCAAAAATGCCCCCCTCCAACTCTAGTTAGTTACTTTCTGTAAATTTCATTAGTGAATTTCACCAGTGAATGTTTGTAGACAATGAAAAACTCATGAATACTTATGCAAATGCATTTTACACTAGTGCTCATGGTATAAGTATTCACACCACCAAGCTAAAATCTCTGATTTGCCTGCTCCTGTTTATAAAATATTCAGTTAACCAATCAGGGAGCAGAAGTATTATTATGCAAAATAGGTGACCAATCATACACCACAAACAACAAAAAGTTGAAGACAAAAGTCAAAATATGTAGTTAGCAAACACTCTATAGATTGAATACAACTCGGCCCGATAGCTTGAAACATGCACCAAACATTATAATAACTCCAAATAAGAAAATTAATAGAAATCAAGGTCTGTTCAGAGACAATTCACAAATGAAAAACTATTCAGTGAATTTTGCATTGTCACAGTCCCTGCTCCAAGCAGCATATAACCTATAAATAAGGCTGCGAGTTTGTCAAAGAGGTCACGGAAGTCCTGGATTCCGTGACCTCCGTGACTTCTGCAGCGGCCGGTGGCTCAGGGACAGCTCAGGCAGCCCCTGAGCCAGACACCCCAACTGCTGCTGGGGCAGTCTCGAGCCACACAGACACACATACACCCACCCCCGCAGCAGCAGAGTTTGGGTGTGGGAGGGGGCAAGGGGTTGGGGCATAGGATGAGGTGAAGCGGGCTCTGGGCGGCACTTACCTGGGGGGCTCCCCAGAAGCAGCAACATCCCCCTCGCTCAGCTGCTAGGCGGAGGCATGGCCAGGCAGCTCTGTGTGCCTGCCTCCGCCCAGAGCGCTGGCTTCGCAGTTCCCATTGACCGGGAACCACGGCCAATGGGAAATGCGGGGGCGGTGCCTGCAGGCTGAGGCAGCCCGCAGAGCTGCCTGGCCATGCCTCTGCCTAGCAGCTGAATGGGGGGGGGATGTCACCACTTCTGGGGAGCCCTCATGTAAGTGCCGCCCAGAGCCTGCCTCACCCTTGTCCCGTGCCCCACCCTCCTGCCCCCTCCCTCACCCAAACTCTGCTGCTGCTGTGGAGGGGGAGGCGCGGAGCCAGGTAGGGAGTCTACCGGCCCCACCAACTCCCCTGCCCCCCAGCACCACTGGGGGTCCCAGGCTGCGCGCTGCCACCCATGCCTCCCAAGTTTTAGTCACGGGTATTTTTAGTAAAAGTCATGGACAGGTCATAGGCCGTGAATTTTTGTTTACTGCCCGTGACCTGTCCCTGACTTTTACTAAAAATACCCGAGACTAAAACCTAGCCTTTCCTATCAATCCATTGATTTGTTGCCTACATGTTTAAGATTGTCACACAATTGCAAAGGAGGCTGGTTCTTCTCTTTCAGTGCACTCACCTCCGGGTTCGGGTCTGAGTTGCTTGCTGCTGCTGTTGCACCTGCTGTTGCGCCTGCTGTTGTTGTACCTGCTGAGGTGCTGTGCGTTTTCGTGTGGGTTCCATCACTGTTTGGGGCATTCCAGGGCGCACTGAGGGGCTTCCAACATATGGTGAGCCTGGGGGACCCATTGGAGCCCCCTGATGGGGCATTCGAGCACCTGATGGCATCCCAGGGCGCTAGGGAGGAAGCAAAACAGAAATCAATGTCTGTTTGGTCACAGTTACTGCAGCAGCAAAGGGGTTGGAATGAAGGCAGCAACTAGCTCCAAGGTAGAGACCAGCAAGTTTCCATTCTAATAAGCACCAGCGCAACAGGACAAAGTGATGGAGTCAGGCCTGGCACTTTCTGGTCATTAGAGAGAGGAACCTGATAAGAGTAGGCTGGAGGGTAGTAAGGAAAAAGGTTGGGGTCAGCAAGACGTTGAGCGGGTGGGTGATAGATCCAGGCCAAATTACTGCAGCATTCTCTCTTGGGCTGACCGTGAAGGTCATGTAGAAGCTACATCTGGGCCAACATGCTGTGGTCTACATGCTAATCAAGACTGATGATGACACCATATCACACCAGTGATCCTCACTTTATGCTGATTGGGCTACTGTGATCAACAGGGACATTATAGCTGCAGTCAAAGGTGAAGCTTTAAAGCCTTGGGGCAGAGAGGTCTCCATCAAGGCTTCCACTTCAGGACACACGATCACCGGGGATCAGAATAAGCCTATAAAGTGAGAAGATGTGGCTACAGAAAAGAGTCATCTCTTTGATCAGGCATTCCCCAATAACAGGGGAACCTGAGAGCTTGATAACATTTCCTTAAGAATGCTAAAATCTCCTGACATCTCCATTGACTTCAGTGGCTTTGGATCAGACCATGAGATCAGTGCCATACGAGACACAGCATAAAGTCAGTCCTAGCCCTAAAGAGCTTATAGCCCTCCAGAGAATCAACCACCAAGATGAATCTCATTTTAAAAATGCAAGCCCAACTCTTGGACACATCAAACTGTTACCCTTATTTATTATGATTTCAATAGCATGATCACTCTTGACAGAGCATGGTGTATGCACCAGTGAGTTCTTTGATGGCTGCTGAGTCCGATGCGCAAGTGATGTATAGATCAGCTAACAAAGCACCTGCTCCTGCCGCAGGTAGCAGGCAAGTGTTTAACATAACAGTCCAGGTGAACACCAGCAAAGCCAGCATCTTAGTCCACACCTCCAGACTAGCTAGCCAGCATACTATACTACCCAGAAGACCAGCTCAGAAGACAGAGTCGGCATGGCTAGCAGGGTTGGCTCTTGGTTTTTTGCCACCCCAAGCAAAAAAAAAAAAGCTGGGGTGCCGCTGTGAAAGCAAAGGTGCCACTGCGAAAGCAAAGGTGCCGCCCCTTGAGAAGTGCCGCCCCAAGCACATGCTTGGGACGCTGGTGCCTAGAGCCGGCCCTGATGGCTAGTGAGTGCAGATAATAGGGCTGGTCTGGGAGACTGACTGTGGGAGCTGCAACTGGGTAAAGGAGAGGGAGGGGGCAGTAAACCTTTGTATAGAACTGAGAACTTCTTCACCTGTCCCAGCTTGTACCATTGGCTGAGCTGCAAACACTGTTATGACAACACTTTGGAAACTGTCTCTCTCCTCCACCACACTCCCAACCCCCCAAACCCAGCAGTCAGCAAAAGGAAATGGCTTAAAAATACTTCACACTAAATCTTGTATTTAGAATCTCCTGTTGCCTGTCAATCCACAAACTGTGGCTGCCTTCCAGCAAGGAGAAACCGAACTGTGAGCCCTTCTGTTGCCTGTCAATCACCCCAGCTCTGCTGCCCCATGTCCATCCCCTTGGAAACTGCCTGGCCAGGAGAGACAAGATTGTGGGTCCAGCTATCTGCATCTGGAAAGGACAAATTATGGCCAGAACAGCAAAGTTGGGTGGGCCAAGCTAGTTACTGGCCTATATCCTACTTCTCTGAACTTCCTGTTGGCTCCCCTTGTTCTTGTTGGGCATTAAAACAGTGCGGGTACCAAACAAATAGTGCCCGGGACAGCGGAAAAGCAGCTCCACCAAGAAAAATGGTTAGTTCCATCCTGGCTGACATTTTCCATTTAAATTCTTATGCCCCCCCCCCCAACCTTGTCCACCCCCTGCTTTGCCTAATTACTTTCCTTCTCCCACCCCCACCTCTGCACCTTCTTCTATGCTGGCCTTAGATGTGGAACAAACTCCTAATCCCAGTACATGAGGCCCCACCCTTCTCCCCATTGCAATACCTTCAAAAGCCCCACAAACCACCTAGGTGAAATGCCTTTTCAACCCAATATTATCAGAGAGGAGAGGACAACAAGGAGGCAACACCTAATCTAACATCCTCCTCAGGGTGCCCTAGTGCATCTGATCTTCTCTGTGCTCCTGGGGGGAAGGCCTGTCCGTACTGTGTCTTGTGCAGAGCTGAGCACATTGTCAGTGCCGTAGGCCCCTCCAGACAGGTGGCAGCAGCAGCGTGCTCCACACTGCCATGAGGTGGCTGCCTCTCTCCTTCATCCTTTACAATCTCACCTTTCTTCTGTTTTACAGCTTGTCCTGTCCTTTGTTTCTCACTCTCCTCCCTTCCAATTCAATCCTCTCACCTCCTCAGTCTCTCTCCTCCTCCTCCCCCCCTTTTCTCAAGCAGTTTCCTCCTGTCACATAGTACAGATGAAGGACGGCACAAGACTGCGCGTCTCCTGGTTTTAATATGGTTGTGCTTCTCTTTGCATTCTTACCGCAGACATAAGAGTCCTGTTACAAGAACTTCAACAACAGAGTATCTAAAAGGCTGAAATGACAAAATGAGACTCAGGCTGAATCTGTGCAGCTGCAGAAAACTAATCTGAAATGTGGACAGGCAATGGGAGAAAGAAATGAGGAGAGCAGCAATGCCTGAAATAGTCCAGCAAGTTAGATGGCAGTTTACAATGCAATATGGCTGTAAAAAAGCTAGTTCAGTTTTGGGCTGCATATGAAGAGCCCAAGGTTGAGTACTGTATTCCAAGTGGAGTCCTCCTGGAGCCCAATAGAGAGGTACCATGCCTCCCTGCCCCAGGGGACTCCACCTGGAATGCAGCCCTCAACCCTGAGCTCTTCAATAATGTAAAGAGCTTGACAAATGAGAAGTTTTAAAAAGAACAAAAATGACCAAGTGTCTAGAGCAGGGGTAGGCAACCTATGGCACGCGTGCCAAAGGCAGCACGTGAGCTGATTTTCAGTGGCACTCTCACTACCCGGGTCCTGGCCACCGGTCCGGGGGGCTCTGCATTTTAATTTAATTTTAAATGAAATTTATTAAACATTTTTAAAAACCTTATTTACTTTACATACAACAATAGTTTAGTTCTATATTATAGACTTATAGAAAGAGATCTTCTAAAAATGTTAAAATGTATGACTGGCACGTGAAACCTTAAATTAGAGTGAATAAATGAAGACTCAGCACACCACTTCTGAAAGGTGCCGACCCCTGGTCTAGAGAGTGTAAAAGAGCACAATACAGCTTGACTGGGCAACAGCATCCAAGGTGCTGGCAGGACATGATGGCAGCTACTAATAGCTGACAGGTGTGAACAACCACTAGGGCGATATGTAGTAGTATCACTCGGAGTAATAGGATGAAATTAAGGGTACATCTTCACTATCCGCCGGATCGGCGGGTAGTAATCGATCTATCGGGAACAGATTTATCGCGTCTCGTCTAGACGCGATAAATCGATCCCCGAACGCACTCCCCATCGACTCCGGAACTCCACCAGAGCGAGAGGCGGAAGTGGAGTCGATGGGGGAGCCGTGGCCGTTGATCCCGCGCTGCGAGGACACGAGATAAGTCGATCTAAGATACGTCGACTTCAGCTATGCTATTCTCATAGCTGAAGTTGCGTATCTTAGATCGATTCCCCTCCTCCCCCAGTGTAGACCAGCCCTTAAACTGTATATTAGAGAACCCTGCCTTTTGGTAAGATATATCTGTAGTGCAATAGTCTCCCAAGGAAGTGGTGAAAGCCCAATTGACAGCAACATTTAAAATTGAACTGGAACAAGTATAGGAAAAATGACTGTAAATAATCCTTTACAGCCTCTCCTCTCCTTCCAGGACGACTATAAATGTGACCTAATAGACGTTGCCTTCTCTAATGTCTATGACAGAGTTACCAAGTAGAAAATTCAGTGTTTCAATTCCTACTCCTTAGAATATCTCACTTCACTCATTTCCAGCAAGCATTCTAGTACTCCAGTTCCCTGCACTATCCCGTGCCCTATAATCAGGGACCAAGTATTCCAGGATTCCACAGCTGTGGCATTTGCTGCAGACTCCACCCATCGCTGCATATTGGGCAGCACAAGCTAAAATCTTTCATGCACAAACACTGTTTCTAGGATTGTAAGCCGATACCTAGACCATAAGCTTTTTGAGGCAGTGATCATCTTTTTGTGATATGAGGGTGTACAGTGCCTAACGCAATGGGACCCCAAATTTTTAATGGGGGCTTCTAGGGGATACAACCATTCAAATACATAAATAATAGCTCTTATAGTTACAAAGAAAATCAGTACAACAAAATGGCGATCAATTAACATACTGCCAGTCTGCCAACTAAGGAAGACATCAGACATAAAAGCTCCATGCACCTCATTGTGGCTTAATTACAAAAAATAATGATGTCAGTTTAAACTGCAATGTTGTTGAACTACTGCTTTGCTGAGGATTACAACAGAACTATCCACATAGCCCATGTCCCCATAATTGGAGGGCCCAACGCCAACTCTACTTCTCAATTTCATTCATAGATTCATACAATTTACGGCCAGAAAGGACCAACAAATCATCTAGTCTGACCTCCTGTATGTCACAGGCCATTAAATTTCACCCAGTTACCGCTTTATTAATACCAGTAACTTGGGTTTGACTAAATCATATCTTCAGAGAGACTTTCAGTCTGTACTTTAAGCCATCAAAAGATGGAGATCTACCACCTTCCTTGGTAGTGTGTTCCAATGGTTAATCACCCTCACTGTGAAAAATGTGTATCGTATTTCTAATTTGAATTTGTCTGGCTTCAGCTTCCAGCCTTGGGTCCTGTTGTGCCTTTTTCTGATAGATTACAGTCTTTTAGTGCTCAGTTTTCTCACCCCATAAAGGTACTTATACTCTG